AGTTGCACTATTTTTTGTAATTATGCAATTTTTTATTACCGGAAAATATCAGATTTGTTGGTGTTCAGCTCTTTGTAAGAGTGCAAGTGTGTACCTTTGCAAAGATACTTTAGTTGAAAATTTCAAAATATATAGTCTCAGTGTCAGGTCCAGTAGGTCTTATGAACTTGTACCGATGAGGATTGACTTCTGAAGCTGACCAAATACAGTTGCATTCCACTTTAAGAAACTTCCAATTGTAAGTCATTTATCAGGAGATTTAGATTAGGTGTTTTTACTGAATAGGATACATGTTTTCAGACAGACCATTCCGGGAGAATTAAAATGGATTAGGAATGAGTTAAAGGTTACTACTGTATGGGAGTTTAAATGATAACTTATCTCTAATTTGGGACTAATTGTGATCTAGTTATATGAGGAAGAGTATAGCTAAGTATACATACAGTATATAGATATATTAAGTGTACTTCCATTCTATTTGTCAGCTGTATCCACCTATGTACAGTACTGTATATAGAACAAACAAGAAGAACATCAGTAGTTGATATATATTGTAACTTTTTGGTGTTGGTAAGTTTATAATTTCACTAGTAGGGGCACACAATCTATTGACTTTGAACTTAAATTTTCCCTCCATAACTGCATGTTGCACCAAGACATTAATGATGACTGCACCTTATGTATACTGTACTGTGTTATGTGTGACAGTAGAGTATATTACTGTATACAGGTACAGTATTACTTTGCTAATTGTATGCTCCCTTATATATACTGTACAGATTATGATAATGTTGACTTTATAGTTTGACACACACACACACACACACAGAAGTTGACCACCGTTTTTCTAGCATCATCAGGGCCGGATTGATGCCAGACCAGCGATTTTGCCAAACCATGGGTGGTCATGGTCGAGCAACCACTCCCGTAACCTCCAACTCAATACTGTGGTTATACTCCTCACCCTAACGCTAAAGCACTCTGGCCTGCTAGACAATCATTATGACATAGCATAAGCAATTATTAAAAGAAAGTGAAAAACAGGTATAGGGTGCAGTATATGGAGGGTTACTGTTTACTTACATAAACTGCTGCATTATTTCCGCTCTCAAAGAGATGAGTCGTAATGGGTAATTACAATTATGTTTCTGGAAGTGGGGGACTGTCTGAATTATCTTCTTCTTCAACTTGAGTCATCTTTATACCCTTGTTAATTCGACAAAAGGGGAGCTCGGGGTCACCTGAATTACTGAAAATTCAGAATTAACCGAGTTTGGAATATTTTGACATTACTGTTCAACAATTTATGACTTTTGTGCTCGATTATTCGTTCGTTTTCTGTTCAGGTTTTGCGTCTTACCTTGGCTGCCACATAAAATTATATATTTATAATTACAAAAATATTTTCTCAGTGAACATTCAGTAATAATAAAGTAAATACAGTACTGTAAGACAGTAATAAGTAAATGTAACACCGCGAGGTGAGGTGACGATGCCAGGGGTGAGATGACAAGGCAGGTGAGGTGACGATGCCAGGGGTGAGATGACAAGGCAGGTGAGGTGACGATGCCAGGGGTGAGATGACAAGGCAGGTGAGGTGACGATGCCAGGGGTGAGATGACAAGGCAGGTGAGGTGACGTGACAAGGCACTTACACAGCAAACACATTAACAGCACTACTAAACCGTTGTCTTTTAAAATTTTCGTCTATATTTTCTATTTTAAAATTAATTAATACAGGATGACATAATTTTGCTACTTTTGCACTTAGACAACTGATCATTGAATTAACCAGAGCATATGGAGACACATTATACACTACAATAATACCCTGATTTACGCGGTCAATTGAACCCGCGGAGGTCCGCATAAAACGAGAAACACGTAAATGGAATAACAGAACATATGGAATTAATTGAAATAGAGACTGGGCTGACTCCCAAATTCCACTTTTTCCGACACAATACCTATGTTGTAGTATAAATAACATCTTAATTTTATGATGGTATGCACACACAATTAATATTTAAGAGAAATACAGTCGCCAGGTTAATGTCCATTCAAATAATGGACTCAATTCCCCCCCTCCCCCCTCTTCCCACGCTCGTTGGCTCCTCTCTCTCTGAGAAATGTTTGGGTGAAAACACTAGATTTTAAGGTATAGTAATAAATAATACCTCAGACTAAAGTTAGGATAATATAATTGACATTGCTGAATTCCTTGCAAGACTATGAATATTTTGAATATGCACGTCATATATTTTGCACAAAAGATAACATATTTACTCAGTGTAAACAAAATTCTTACATTAGATCTAAAATTTGTATGTCTAATGCAAAATCCATGATGTTTAGATTCAAAATGATCATCATATTGTAAGAATTCCAACAATGTAAATTATATTCTGGCCGGGTAATTTGTATGAATTTTATGAGCTAAATAAAATAATTATACTTCACCCGCGTATATGAGTAGATGCACTGCGTAAAGTGGGAGTTC